TGGGTGGGGATTTGGAATTCTGGATGCGGGATTCTGGATGGAGATCCGGGATTCTGGGTGGGGAGCCAAGATTTTGGTGGGAATGCGGGATTCTGGATGGGGATTTGGAATTCCGGATGCGGGATTCTGGATGGAGGTGTGGGATCGTGGATGGGGATCCGGTATTCTGGATGGGACTGCTGGATTCTGGATGGGGATTTGGAATTCTGGATGCGGGATCCTGGATGGAGATCCGGGATTCTGAATGGGGATTTGGAATTCTGGATGGGGATGCAGCCGGGCCGGGCTGGATGAGCCCCCCCGCATCCCGCGGATCCTCCATCCATCATCCTCCAGCGGCTCGGGAATCTCCGGTGTCGCGACCACGGGAGGATCCAGGGCCCGCCCGTCCCCGCAGCGCTCCCATTCCCGCACCCCCTCTCCCACAGCGGCATGAGATTCCCACTCCCTGTCCCCCATTCCCGCCCCAACCTCGGATTCCCGACAGGGGAGGGGGACAGGATGGGACCCTCCCCCCCTCAGCACCTCAAAATCCCCCCAAAAATCAGGCGGCAGGCGCGGATCCAATGGTTTAATGCATCCCTGGACACCGCCAGGATCCGTGCGGGTCCATCCCGGTGCGGGGAGGGGGCTGGAGCCCGCGGCTCCCCCTCCCTGCCCCGCCCGAGCAGCTGGTGTCCCCCGGTGTCCTGCGGTGTCCCGCGGTGTCCCCGCTCCTCAGGAGCACTTGAGGATGAGGAGGTTGCAGGAGGAGCCGCGGGGGCAGCTGCAGAGCTTCCCGAAGCGCGCCCCGCGCCGCACCGCGCACGGCTCCCGGGGCTCGCACTGCGGGCGGCACCGTCAGCCCCGGGGCCGGACCCCCACCAAAGGGGGGGTTTGGGGGTCCCCCCGAACGCGGCCCCGTCAGCCCGGGGGCCGGACCCCCACCAAAGGGGGGGTTTGGGGGTCCCCCCGAACCGCCAGGGCCGCCCCCAGCCCCGCCGTACCCAGGGCACCCAGCTCAGCCTCTTCTCCAGCGCCGGCTCGTCCAGCAGCGCCCGGAGCGGCTCGGCCTGCCGCGGACAGCCAGGGGCGTTCCCGGGACACCGGGGACCCAGAGGGGCTCCCCAGTTCCCGGGACACCCCGCGAATCCAAAGGGGCACCCACCCCCAATTCCCGGGGCTCCAGAGGGGCTCCCCGATTCCCGGGACACTCCGAGAATCCAAAGGGGCACCCACCCCCAATTCCCGGGGCTCCAGAGGGGCTCCCCAATTCCCGGGACACCCCGAGAATCCAAAGGGGCACCCCCATTTCCCGGGGCTCCAGAGGGGCTCCCCCAATTCCCGGGGCTCCAGAGGGGCTGCCCAATTCCCGGGACACCCCGCGAATCCAGAGGGGCTCCCCCAGTTCCCGGGACACCCAGGGGCTCCGAATCCTTGTCACCCCCAATTCCCGGGGCACCCCCAATTCCTGGAACACCCCGGGGCTCCGAATCCATGTCACCCCCAATTCCCGGGGCATCCGGGGGCTGTGGATCCGTGTCACCCCCAATTCCCAGGACACCCCGGGACCCCGAATCGGTGTCACCCCGAGCCCCCCAGGCTCCTGTCCCATCCCCCTCCTGTTCCTGGCTCATCCCGGCCGGGAATCGGGGCTGGGGCAGCACCGGGGGTCGGGGGTCTGTCCTCAGGGTGCGGCCCCACGCCCCCCCCGCTCCCCCCCGCTTCCCCCCGCAGCTCAGCCGGAGCTCAGGATGGGCCAGGGAAGGAAAAAACAACCAAAACCCCCCAAAGCGGCGACCCCCGCGTGCTGCGGGATGTGCCCGGTGCCGCAACCCCCCGAGGGCCGGGCGGCAGCACAAAACCGGGGCAGGGGTCCCGGCTGCCCTCTCCCCAATTCCCCACGGCCTCCCCCCACCAAACCGGGCTGGGGGGAGCAGGAACACCCCGAAACGCCCCAAACCCGCGCGGGGGGCGCTGGGGACCCCCAGCCCCGCTCCCCCAGCCCCTCACCAGCTCCGGCTCCTCCCGGCCGTGCCCGGGCAGGCTCAGGGTGGGCTCCGCTGCCGGTTCGGGGGTCCCGAGCAGGATGAGGCCGGAGCCCAGCAGGCAGAGCAGGCAGAGCCGAGCGCTCTCCATGTTCCCGGTGCCGGCGGCGCCCCCGATGCTCCGGGATGTGCCGGGCTCGGTTTTATCCCCCACCCGGCCACCTCCGAACGCGCGGTGACGCACACGGGGCGCCTGTGTCCCCCCAAAATCCGGCACCGTCACCGGGTGCGGGGGGGACACGGCATCCCTGGGGACACCGGGGCCACCAGCCAGCGGCCAGGGACGGACGTCAGCACCGGGCCCAGGCAGGGACCCCCCGGTGACCCCCCCGGGCCGCAGCCGCTGCCAATTCCGTGAGCAAACAAACACCGGGCTCGGCCCGGCTGCTCCCGGAGCGGCCCGGACAGCGCAGAGGCGGGGGGACGCGGCGGGGCACGAACGGCGGCACCGGGAACGAACGGGGGGACAGACAGACAGACAGCCAAGGGGACAGACAGACAGACAGCCAAGGGGACAGACAGGGGACGGAAGGGGGGAAGGAAACGGGACAGACAAGGGGACGGACAGGGAACAAAAGGGACAGACAGGGAACAGCCGGGGGGACAGACAGAGAGACAGACGGGGGACACACAGAAGGACAGACATAGAATCCAGTCAGGGGGACAGAAGGGCGACGGACAGGGGACAGACAGAGGGACAGACAAGGAATACAGACAGAGGGACAGATAGGGAATACAGACAGGGGGACAGACAGAAGGACAGCCAGGGGACACAGGGGAGCTGTCGCTCTGCTGTCCCACAGCCCTTCCAGGCTCTCCAGCCCCCCAGCGGGCTCTCCGCTCCCGTTCCATCCCTGTCTGGTCCCTCCCTGTCCCACCACCCTCCGGTCCCCAGGGGGTCCCCAAAGCTCACAGGATCCCCCCAGACACCGCACCCGGGACGGGGCGGCACCGCCGGACACCGGCAGGACCGGAGCGCGGAGAGCCCCGACCGCCGCCGGGCCCGCTGCCCCCGGCCCGGTCCGGTCCCGGTCCGGTGGCTTCTAGACCCGGTCCGGTGGTCCCTGACCCTGCTCCAGCTCAGTTTCGGCTCCCCCCACCCGGTCTGGCCCCGGTTCGGTTACCCCCAGCCCAGGTCGGTGCCGGTTCGGTGACCCCCAGCCCGGCCCCATTCCAGCCCAGGTCCCGGTCCCGGTCCCGGTCCCGGTTTGGCGGCACCGCGCCCCGCCCACACGCCGAGGCTCCGCCCACCCATGAGCACAAAGCCCAGTGGGTAATGTAGTCTTCATTAATGGAGCGGGAAGGCTGGGCGCTCCAGGACTACACTTCCCAGAAAGCTTTGCGGCGGGGCATAGAGAGGGCGGCGACAGCGTCGCCTGCTGGCTCGGAGGACTCGGAGCGGGAGCGCGGCCGCGCTCGGACCCGGGGCGGGGGACACGGGGGCGCTCCGCGGGGACACCGAGAGGGGACAGGGGACAGCGGGGACACCGAGAGGGAACAGGGGACAGCGGGGACACGCACAGAGCGCCAGCACCGCCGTGGGCGGGGGCAGCGCGGGAAATACGGCTCAGGACGCGGCCGAGGGAAACTGAGGCACGGCGTGGGCACCTCCCGCGACCCCCCCCCGGGGGTTCACGGACCGGTCCGGCCCTGCAGCTGCGGGACCCGGGGCCAAGGTGAGGCCACCCCGGTGTGCCAGGGCCCGGGACAGCGGGAGCGCTCCCCGGTGCGTCCCCGGCAGGTGGCGGCCGCCGCCCGCGCAGCACCGAGCTCCCCGCGTGTCCCCGGTTCCCCCGGCTCTGAGCGCACCGACCCCTCCCGCCCCCGCCTGCACGTCCCGGTGCACGGACCGACCGCCCCCGCGGCCCGGTGCGTGAATTGCCGCCCCCCGGTGCAGCCCCCGCTCCACCGACAGACCCCCGGTGCAGCCCCCGGTGTACGGACCGTTCCGCCGCCCACGAAGCGACCCCCGCTGCCGCCCCCGGTGCACGGACCGACGGCACAGGGCAGCCGCCGGTGCACGGACCGACCCCCTGGTCAACGAGCAGCCCCCGGTGCACGGAGCGGCCCGCCGGTACAGCCCCCGCTCCACGCACAAAGCCCCCGGTGCAGCCGCCGACCCCCGGTGCAGCTCCGGTCCCACGGAGCGACCCCCGCCGTGCAGACCGCTGTGCACGAACCGGCTCCTGGAAAAGCCCCCGGTGTCAGGGGCCGACCCGTGCACCGACCGACCCCCGGAGAGACCCCCGGTGCACCGACCGACCCCCGGTGCACCGGCGGACCCCCGGAGCGACCCCCGGTGCAAGAGCAAACCCTCGGAGCAGTCCCCGGTCCCAGGGACCGACCGCTCTGTGCAGCCCCCTGTCCCACCGACGGACCCCCGGTGCACGGAGCGACCCCCGCTGTGCACGGAGGAACCCCCGTGCAGCCCCCGGTCCTACCGATCACCACCCGTGGCACCGACCGACCCCTGGTGCAAACCCCGGTGCACGCACCGACCCCCGGTGCAGCCCCTGGTGCACGGAGAGACCCCCGGTGCAGCCCACGGTCCCACACATCGACCCCTGGTGCACCGACCGACCCCCGGTGCAGCCCCCGGTGCAAGAAACGACCCCCGGTGCAGCCCCCGGTCCACGGTGCGACCTCCGGTGCAGCCTCCGGTGCACCGACCGACCTCCGGAGCAAGAACCGACCCCCGGAGCGGGTCCGGGTCCCACGGACCGACCCCGGTGCCCCCCGGTCCCGCCGGTCCCACGCCCGTCCCGCGGGGGGGGCGCAGTTTCAGGGCGGGGGTTTCCCCCGCGCTCCCCCCCCCGCGTTTCACCCCCACGTGGGCCCCGCCGGCGGCGCCCAATCAGCGCCGCGCTCGTGGGCGGCTCCTCGCGGCGCCAGCCAATGGACGAGGCGGGGGCGCCACGCGAGGCCACGCCCCGCAACGGGAGGCTATAAAAGGCGGCGCAGGGCGCGGCTGGCGTTCAGAGCGATCGTGCTGGAGCGGCGGCGGGAGCGGAGCGGGACCGGGGATCGCGATAGCGCCGCGATAGCTCCGCGATATCCCCGCGGTAGCCGCGCTCGGGATTATTGCTCTTGGAGTTTGCCTTCTTCTCCTGCGGATTACAATTGCACCATGACCCTGGAGGAGCTGGTGCCTTGCGATAGCAGCAAGTAAGTGGCGGGCGGCTCGGGGCGTTGGGCGGGGGTTCTGCGCTTGTCGCCGTCGCCGCTCACCGGCTCTGCCGTTCCTCCCGACAGGATGCAGGCGGTGAGCGAGGCGGTGGAGCGGGTGCTGGTGGCGGCGCAGCGGCAGGACCGCCTCACCGTGGGGGTCTACGAGTCGGCCAAGCTGATGAATGTGTGAGTATCGCGACAGGGCTCTGTCGGGGGGTCTGTCGCCGGGGGAGGTCTGGCTGGCGTGGCGCGGTTCATCCCGGCTCTCTTAGCGCAGAGCTGGAGCGTTTTACGGGGTGGTAAATTTGGTGGGGGTCTGTCGCCCATTCTTAATGCGACAGGGAGGTGACACGGGGGGGGTGACACCATCCCGCGCTGTCCCGGTCGCCCCTAACCCTCCTCGCCCCCGCAGGGACCCCGACAGCGTGGTGCTGTGCGTGCTGGCCACCGACGAGGAGGACGAAGGCGACATCGCCCTGCAGATCCACTTCACGCTCATCCAGGCGTTCTGCTGCGACAACGACATCCACATCCTGCGCGTGTCGGGCATGCAGCGCCTCGCCGCCATCCTGGGCGAGCCCGAGGCGGACTCCGAGCCCCGCGACCTGCACTGCCTGCTGGTCACGGTGAGCACGGCGGTGACGCGCCGCTGGCCCCGTGATTCCGCCGGGCGCCGCGCCAGGGGCCGGGGAGGGTGACGGGGCGGCTCGGGGACACGTGTCGGGGCGCTGGTGGCACTAACCTCGTGTTCCTGCTCCCCCAGAATTCGCACACGGACGCGTGGAAGAGTCAGGGCTTGGCGGAGGTGGCGAGTTACTGCGCCGAGAGTCGCGACAGGAACCAGTGGGTGCCGTTCGTGTGTCTGCAGGAGCGCTGAGCCCCTCCCGGCCCCTGCCCGGCCTGGACTACGAGGATTGGAAACCTTAAAAAAAAACAAAAACCAAAACAAAACAACCCAACAAAAAAACAGCAGGGGGAAAAAAAAGAAAAAAAAAAGGAGGAGAAACAGCCAGTTCTAACCCACAACGCCCAAAACCCACCGATTTTATTTTTCTTTTGAACCGGAGAGGAGGAAGGGGGAGCGCGGCTGCTGCGGTGGGAATGGAGGGGGACGCTGGCCGGAGCCCGGCGGGGGACACTGGATGGACGCTGGCCGCAGCCCGGGTGGACACTGGACACTGGCCGGAGCCCGGGTGGACGCTGGACACTGGCCGGAGCCCGGGTGGACGCTGGACGCTGGCCGGAGCCCGGGTGGACGCTGGCCGGAGCCGCCGGCCGAGGAGCTGTGCTGGAGCGTGGACCGGAGCCGGGGAGCCCCGGGCGGGCGCTGCGGAGCGCGGGGAGTGACCCCGGAGCTGGAAACTGTCGCGATTTTTGGCAGCTGGGACCCGATGGAGGCGAGGATTGCAGAGGGCTGGATTTTTAATTTTTTTTTTTTTATGCAAAAAACTGCTTTTTTCAAGGAATTATGGACGTCTGCACGGATGGACCTGCACCCCCCGGGTGCTGCTTTTGCACTTGGAGACCCTGAGCAGAACCTTTTCCAGAGTTTATTCTTCTACCGAGCGAGGAACTGAATTTATTTGCAATAAAATGTCTGACGTTACTGGTGTTTGCTCTTCCCTGTGCTCTGCTGGAGCCGTTCCCAAGGGAGCGGGAGTGGAATCGGCGCTTCCTGGGTGGGTTTTTGGGGTGGGCTCCACCTCCCCTGGGGGGCCTTTTATAGGGCTGGGGGTTCCCACCCGTGTGTGGCCTCGCTGCTGCGGCTGGAGGAGAAATTCCCACCCCACCCTTCTCTGAAAAAGGGTTTTTCCAAGGAAAACACCCACGAGGTGCGCTGAGCTCCGTGGGAAACTGAGGCACGGCCGCCCCCCGGGCTCGGGGCTGGAGCTTCCCCCACCCGCGCAGAAACCGCGGCCGTGGGAACCGGGGCTGCCCGCGGGGGTGGGGGAGCCCCGCGCCCCCATCCCCTCCCCCGGCCGCGGGGGGAGGAATTCCCTCCGTCCTCCCGGGGTGGGGACAAGGACAAGCCCGGTGGGGTCCCCCCTTTGTGGGCACCGGGGGCTCCCCGGGATCCCTCCCGGAGGCGGAACCCGCGGGGGGGGGGGGGTCGGGGAGCGGCTCCGGTGCATCCCGAGCTCACCGGAGCTCGCCGTGTCCCCGTCACACGCGCGGTGTCGCACAGGGTGGCCCCGGCAGGGAGCCAGGCCCGTCCTGCCCGGCTGGGACACGGCGTGCGGCTGGGCAGGGACACCGCGAGCCCCGGCTGGGGACACGGTGGCCATCCCAGAGTGTCGCGTGCCTTGGGGACGTGCCCTGTGCCCTCCTTTGGGGTTTTGATTGCGGGGGAAACTGAGGCACGGGCGCGTGTGACAGTCCCGGCAGCGTGTCCTGGCGGTCCCAAGGGACAAGGTGGTGACAACACCCTCTGGGTGGCCCAAAATGCGACTGTCCCAGTCCCCCCAGCTGTGGGGTCTCAGCTCGGGGTGGGGGGGTCTCGCTGTCTCCCGGGATCCCCCGGGAAGATCCCGAAGGGAAAGGCCCGGGGGCGGCTCAGGCCGCCCGAGCTCGTTTCACTGATGAGGCGGCGGGGTCACGAGGCCATTCCTGTCGCCGCTGTCACCGCGGCTGTGCCACTCGTGTGACCGGTGTGTCAGGCCGCGGCTGTGTCACGGGGGTGGGAGGGGTGAAAGCCCCCCCCAGACCCCCCAAAATCCCCCCCTTAGGTAATTAATAATTAATTAGGAGGTCGCAGCCAGCCTAGGGGTGCAGGATGGGTGTTGGACCCCCCTCCCCAAAAAGCTGTCACGGGGGGAGGCGGTGACACGCGGGGGGGGGCAGGTGCCACCCCGAATGTCCCCGCGGGGGTGACACCGCAGCCGCCGTGTCACCGCCAGGGGGGTGGCAGGTCCCGGGGGGGTGACACGGGGGGGGCACCGAGCCCTTTCCTGGCTCTGGGGCGGCCGCAGCCAGACAGGGCAGGGCCGGAGCCGCGCCGGAGCCGCTGATTTATGAGTCTGGCCTGGGTGGCTCCGGTGGCTCCGGCGGCTCCTGGCCCCGGGCTCCGTCTCCACCCTGCGAGCGACATCGGGGACAAAAAACCGGGGGGGGGCACCGCCCACCCACCCAACCCCCCCTTCCCGGGCGGCTCGGCCCATCCCGACATCCCCAAGCTCTGGAAACCGGGGGAAACTGAGGCACGGAGCTGTCTCTCCTCCCCTCCCCCGCCGGTGACGCCCGCAGCGGGCACTCCGCCCGTGATGTCACCGTGGCGGCCCCGTTGCGTCACGGGTGTCCCCGTGCCACCCGCGTGGGGACACGGTGGGATCCTCCACGCGGTCAGGGGGGTCCCCGGGAGCGGGGGATGACCCCGAGGGGGGCCCCCGCTGCTGTCCCCGCCCCGGTGGCACCGGAGGGACCCGCGGCTGTCCCCGGGCCACCCGGTGGCCGCGGCTCCGAGGGCAAGGAGTTAATTAGGGCAGCGGGGAGTTAATTAGAGCGGCAGCCGGGCTATAAATAGCCCGGCGGAGGAGGGAAGGTTATTTTTAGCCGCTCCCAGCCCGGTGCCACCCGGCCGGTGTCGCTTGGCGCTGGCACCGCCACCCGCTGGCAGCGAATTCCCGGCCGAGGAGCCGCTCCCGGTGTCCAGAAGGGAACGGGGGGAGTTCGGGATTCTGCGGCAGGACGGTGACACGGGACCTGCTGCCATCCCACTTTGTGTCCCTGTCCCTGTCCCCCCGCCCGTGCCGCGTTTTTGGAGCAGACACGGAAAAAAAATCCCAACAATTCCCGGCCCGCGGCTGCAGCGGGAGCGGCGCATTCCAAGGGCTCCTCCCGGCCTGGATCCCGCTGATTTTCCAGAGGGAAGCTGGGACGGGATCGCTTTTCCTGGAAAAAGGAAGGAATGCAGCGCTGGGTTTGGTTTTCCCCGTGGGATGGGGCGGCTCCGGAGATTCCCGGGAAAAAGGAGATTCCCAAGAGCCAGCAGGGATGGGGAGAACAGGGGTGGGAAAAGGGAATTCCTGAGAGCTGGGGGATTCCCAGGGGTGATTTCTGAGGAGCTGAGATCCTCGAGGGGCTGCAGTTCCCGGGATCAGCATTCCCGATCCCACCTGAGCATCCAGGGGCTGGGAAAGGGGAATCCCCAGGGTGGATTTCTGAGGAGCTGAGATCCTTTAGGGGCTGCAATTCCTGGGAATCGGCATTCCCGATCCCGATGGGAGCTCCAGGGGGTGGGAAAAGGGAATTCCTGAGAGTCAAGGGATTCCCAAGGAGGAGCTGAGATCCTCGAGGGGCTGCAATTCCCTGGAATCAGCATTCCCGATCCCATTTGAGCATCCAGGGGCTGGGAAAGGGGAATCCTCAGGGTGGATTTCTGAGGAGCTGAGATTCTCGAGGGGCTGCAATTCCCGGGATCAGCATTCCTGATCCCACCTGAACATCCAGGGGGTGAGAAAAGGCAATTCTTGAGAGCTGGGGGATTCCCAAGGGGGGATTCTGAGGAGCGGAGATCCTCGAGGAGCTGCAATTCCCAGGGATCAACATTCCCGATCCCATTTGAGCATCCAGGGGCTGGGAAAGGGGAATCCTCAGGGTGGATTTCTGAGGAGCTGAGATTCTCGAGGGGCTGCAATTCCCGGGATCAGCATTCCTGATCCCACCTGAACATCCAGGGGGTGAGAAAAGGCAATTCTTGAGAGCTGGGGGATTCCCAAGGAGGAGCTGAGATCCTCGAGGAGCTGCAATTCCCAGGAATCAGCATTCCCGATCCCACCTGAGCATCCAGGAGCTGGGAAAAGGGGAATGCAAGGGTGGAAAAGGGCACAGGGGATTCCCGAGGGGTTGGGCTGCCAGAGGGAGGATCCGGAATTCCCGATGCCCTCAGCTCAGCACAGGCAGGCAGAGGAAATTGGCAAAATGCAAAGTGAGCCTTTTTTATTGTGTTATCCATTCACCGGGGAACAACGATTCCACGAAATATTAAACACGGTGCGAGGAGGGGTCGGGGCTATGGCACACGAGAAAGGGGAAAAATCAACAAAACAAACCCAAAAAAAAAAAAAAAAAAGTAAAAACCAAACCGGGAATTGCAGACGGATGAGGAGCCTACGGCACAGACACCGAGCACTTCCTAAGGACAGTCCGGAAAAAACCTGGATTGGAGTTTGGCAACGAGATCAGAGTTTGGCAAATAAGAATAATAATAATAATTAATGATCATTTGAATGATAGACCAGAGAGAAGGAGAAAACGAGGAGCGCCAAGGATCCCACGAGGGCTCGGAGTAAATGAATTATTGGGATTTTGTTAAATAAAGGTGGATTTTTAAGGACTTTAGGGGGGGGAAAAAATAAAAAGGGGTCATTTGGGAGAGCCAGAGGCTCCGGGGTGTCCCGGCTCCTTCCCCCGAGACAGGGAGGGGAGGGCGAGGCAAAGGCAGGAAAACTGGAACAGGAGCAATGTTTCCCTGGCCCTTTTATTCCCAGATTTCTATTTTTGGCACTGGCTTCACCACATCCCATAAAGAAAGGCCGGAGAGATCTGGGCATGTGGTTAAATCCCAAAAAAAAAGGCTTTTGTGGAGCTGGGCTGCAGCTCCTTCTGCTCCCCCTTCCAGCACTTAGAAAGTTCTGAAAAGTCTTTTTTTGTGTTTTTTCCCCCTCCTTTTTCCCCTTTTTTTTTTTTTTTTTTTTTTTTTTTCCTCCTTTTTCCTTTTTTTTTTTTTTTTTTTTTTTTTTTTTTTTAAATAAACTTATTTGGCAAATGCACTAAACAAAGTACAAGCAACTACTGGGAATCTGCACTTCTATTTCTGCCATACAAAAACACCCACAGCATGAGCACGGATTTACTCCGACACGGAGAAAATTCTGGGAATGGAAAAAAAAAAAAAAAAAGGGGAAAAAAAAAAGAAAAAAAAAAAAAAGAAAAGAAAAATTAAGGATTTTTTTTCCCAACAAAAACGAGTCACCCATGGAGACACCAGCAGCTCCCACCCCCAGCTCCCTGTGGGACCCCCGGTATCCAGGGATCCCATGGGAGATGCTCCATGGCCTTTCTCCCAGCTCCCTGCCCCTTCTCCTGGCTCCTTTTCCCTTCTCCCTGTCCCTTTTCCCAGCCCCTTTTCCCTTTTCCCAACCCCTTTTCCCTTCTCCCTGACCCTTTTCCTTCTCCTGGCTCCTTTTCACTTTTCCCAGCTATTTTCCTTTCTCCCACCCCTTCTCCCAAACCCTTTTCCCTTCTCCCAACTCCTTTTTCCCTTTTCCAAACCTCTTTTCCCGGCTCCTTTTTCCTTCTCCCAACCCCTTTTCCCTTCTCCCATCTCTTTTCCCTTCTCCTAACCTCTTTTCCCTTTCCCCAACCCCTTTTCCCAACTCCTTGCCCCTTTTCCTGGCTCCTTTTCCCATCTCCCATCCCTCTTCCCTTCTCCCATCCCTTTTCCCAACCCCTTTTCCCTGCTCCTTTTCCCCTTTTCCCTTCTCCCGGCTCCAGCATGCCTTTGGCTGGGGCAGGACCCCGGGATGGGGGAGGCAGAGCGACCCCAAAGCGTCTGACCCAGCATCCCTTGGGATTCACATCCCACGGGATTCTCCCGGGATGGGGGGGTTGGAGCCCCTGAGGAGGAGGAGGAGGAGGAAGAGGAAGAATTCCCGGCTCCAGCCCCGGCTCCAAGGATAGCACCAAGCTCTGGTCTCGAACACAGAGGAAGAATCAGATCTGGAGTAGAAAAATAAGGCTGGAACTGTCCGAGAGATTAAGGACAAGAGGGAATTCCCTCCTGGAGAAGGAATCCCGGGCTGGACTCGGGAGTGGCCGCGTGATTCCCGGCGGGCGGAGCTTGGAGCGGGATGGGATTTGGGATTTGGGATCAAACTCTCCAGAAAAGGCTTTGCTGGGGCAGAGGGACAGCCAGGGAAATTCCTGGGAAATGATCCCGTTTTCCCTGCTCTGCTCTCCCCCAAGGGATGGGGGGACATTCCCGAGCCCTGGAATCCCGGGACACAGCGGGGAGCATTCCCAGGAAAAGCCGCACAGCTTTAGTGTTAAAAACGTGGCATTTCCCCGACTTCGTTGCAAAGGCAAATGACGGCGGACTGAAAACAAGGAACAGCGACATTCCTGCAGCCGAGGAGGGGACACGGGGCGGCCCCCTGGGAATTCCATCCCCCTCTGGAAAAGGGCTGGAGCAGCTCCCGGTGCCCAGCAGCACCAGTGACCCCGCCCAGCAGCACCAGTTTGGGCCGCGGGGATTTACTGGGAATCCAAGGAATCGCAAATCTTTTCCCATGGGAATTGCTCTCTGTCCCGTTAAGGGGTCCCTGACATTCCTAAGCCAATCCAAAGCTTTGGAGGGAATGGGGAAACTCCCAGGATTTCACATGAGGTGTGGCTGGCTTGTTTTTATCCCTTCTCTTCCCAAAAACCTGTGCTCGGGATAACCAGGAATGGCCTCTCCCTACGGTGGTCTTGGGAAATCTTTCCCAGCCTCGTGGATTCTGGGATTCTGGGAATGTCTCCCAGGAGCTGCTGAGCCCCAGGACGGGCCCTGGGGACATGGATTGGGCTCGGACACTGCACCTGAATCCCGGGATCTGTCCCTTCCCCACAGATCCAGTGGCCACTCCACGGAATTCCTGCAGCTTTCCTGAGCATCCACCCAAGGGCTCCATGGAAGCATCTCCTGTTCCCCTTTCCCTGCTCCCCTTTTCCAGATCCCCCTTTCCCTGCTGCTCTTTCCCTGATCCCCTTTTTCCTGCTCCCCTTTCCCTGCTCCCTTTCCCTGCTCCCCTTTTCCTGTTCCCCTTTCCCTGCTCCCTTTCCCTGCTCCCCTTTTCCTGTTCCCCTTTCCCTGCTCCCTTTCCCTGCTCCCCTTTTCCTGTTCCCCTTTCCCTGCTCCCTTTCCCTGCTCCCTGCTCCCCTTTTCCTGCTCCCCTTTTCCTGCTCCCCTTTTCCCGCTCCCCTTTCCGTGCTCCCCTCTCCCTGTTCCCCTTTTCCTGCTCCCCTTTCCCTGTTCCCCTTTCCCTGCTCCCCTTTCCCTGCTCCCCTTTCCCTGCTCCCTTTTCCTGTTCCCCTTTCCCTGCTCCCCTTTTCCTGCTCTCCCCTCCGTGCTGGGTCATCCCCGTGAGATCCAAGCACTCCCACTTCAATCCCAGTCCCAGATTCCCAAGGGATGGGAACAGAACTGATCCTTCCACTCCCCCTCCCCACCTGCCCTAAACTTCCCTGGGCATTTCCCAGGCCCTGGACTTAGTGGGAAGAATTCCAGTGTGGAAAAGGGAGATGGGAAAACCTGGGAATTTGCTGATTCGGGTTGAAACTCCCCCAAAAGTCGATTTTTCCAAGATTCTGGATGCACCAGGAAGCTCCTTCCCTTCTCTTCCCTCCCTCCCTGAATTTGGGAACAGCACAGAGACCCCCCAAAGATCCTGGCCTCCCCATCCCTGGGGCTCCCTAAAATTCCTCCTGGGATCTCTCCCAGCTGGGAATTCCCCCACAGGGCCATCCCTGGATCCCAGCAGAGCTGTGGGATGCAGGGAAAAGCCTCCCCAGCCTCCCTTTGGCCATTCCCAACAGGGATTTTTCCAGCTGGATTTGGGGGTTTTGGGGTTTTTTTTTTATTTTTTTTTTTTGTACTGATTTTCTACAAAATAGTTCCCACCTCACCCCTTCTCCAGAGGAAATTCCTGCTGATTGGGCTCTGATTGGATCCAGGTCCAGCTCTCACATCCCACTGGGAATGACCCTCCCACCTCCTCCTCCACCACCCCTTTCCCAAATCCAAATATCCCAATAAAAAAATCCCACCCCCTCCTTCCTTTCCTCCCTTCAACCCTGGGTAAATTTTAAAATCCTGATTCCAATTCTTAATCCTACTTTCCTTCCCATGAAGCAGCCACCCCTTCCCTAAAAAACCCCCGCTTCCAAATTTATGTTTTCAGGATGTTTTTTGGGCGTTTTTTGGGGGGGATTTTTTTTGTTTTCTTGGTTTGTTTGTTTTTTTTTTTTTTTTCTTTTTTCTCGGGAATTTTTAAGTTCTGTTTGAAGCCAGCGTTGAGTTTTTACCCCTGGGTGCAGGTGGAGGTGTGGAGGAGCCTGGATCCAGAGGCTGGATGGGGATTCCCTTCCGGAGGGATCCGCAGCTATAGGATGATACAGGGTTTTTTGTCCTTAAAGGGATTCTCAGAAGCAGGAACTCCCACCAGGAGCGGGTCATTCCGAGCATGCTGCTCACAGTAATTCATCAGCTCCGAGGATGCTTTGGAGACCTGGATTTTGGGGATAAAAAAAAAGCAGGAATTTGGGGGATAATCGCAGGGATTTGGGGGATAATCGCACCTCAGAGTCACCACCAACACTTCTGGGATTTTTGGGGTTTGACATCCCAGCTTTTCCCAACAGAAATTTTGGGGAGATGAGGAGAAAAGTGGGAATTGGAGGTGGAAAATCAGAGTTTACAGTGAGGGGAAATACCCCAGCTGGGAGATTTAAAAGGAATATTGTATCTGTGTTTTTCAGGGATTCGGGATGAGCTCTGAGGATGCTTTAAAGACCTGGATATTGGAGAAAAAAGTAGGAATTTATGGAAATATTCCCAGCTTGGAGTCACCAGTGCTTGCAGGATTTTGGGGGATTTCCATCCAGCTTTTCCCTTAAGGATTTAAAAGGGATATTATTGTAGCTGTGTTTTTCAGGGATTTGGGATGAAAAAGTGAAGGAAAGATTCCCTGAGTGCAGCCTCTTGTTAAGGTCTGGAAAACCTCAGGATCCATTGTTTAAGGCACTGCTTGGTTTAGTTCCAAGCTGGTTTTTTGGGAAGGGAGAGCTTGGAGGGATCAGAGGAGGCTCCAAATCCTCAGGGAGCTGCTGGAGGCTCCGGAGATTTCCCGATCCCATTTTTTAATTTCAGTTTCCTTAATGACAAAGGGCAGAGGTGGAGCCACATCTGGAGGTTCCTCTTTTCCTCCAAGCTTCATCCAGCCTGGCCTTGGGCACTTCCAGGGATCCTAGAGGCAGCCAGAGCTGCTTTGTGCCAGAGAGAGAGAATTCCTTCTGTCCACCAACCCTAAAATTCCCCTTTTTCCATCCAAACCCATTTGTCCTTGTCACCAAATCCTGATGGAGAGACCCTCTCTGACTTCCTTGGAGGGAATCCTGGAACTCTGGGGACATCCTGCTGGGGGAAATCCAGGATTCTTCCCACTCCCATCTGAATTAGAAGTCTTTTTGAGCCAGGTTTCAAAAGCTCTTGGAGATCTATTTCACACCCAAGATAGCTCAGCTACTTTAGAAGGCACAAAATCAGCAGGATGGCTTCTGCGGCAGTGTTGGAAACAAAAAGGTTTCAGTAAAAGGCAAAATAACAAATTCTTTCTAGAAGCCCCCTTGCCCCTAAGTAAGACACTTCACAAAAGCCATTCGTTTCTTTGTTCTCTTCTTTTTCTAGTAAATTGCCCAAGCCAGACTTTTTAACTCCTGTCCAATCCTCAAGTTTGAGGTGAAATCTCCCAAATCCCTAGACACACCTTTTCACTTCATTAAGGAGAGAAACTTCTGAGCTTATCTCCTTTTTTAAGGGGACAAAAGACAGTTTTGTCACTCAGAGCACCTTCCCACAGCCATCCTCACCTTGATCCTCTCGATCCCGGCCTCGATGCGGAGCTGCTCCACCAGCTTGCGGGCCTGCGCTATGTTGTTAGTCGTGGACATTCTCTGCCATCGGCTCCGAGCCCCAGCACAGCAGAATCCTGCAGAGAGCAGGGACACAGAGGGGCTGGAGCAGGGTGAGGAGCTGCTCCAGCTCCATCCCAGCATCATGGAATGGCTGGGAAGGGACCTTAGAGCTCATCCCATCCCACAGCTGTTGGGAACTCTCTGTGTGTGGAGACACGAGGCTTGACTCTATTTTTCAGAAGGCTGATTGATTATATTATGATATATATTATATTAAAATACTACATTAAAACTATACTAAAAGAACAGAGAGAAAAAAAAATCATCAGAAGGCTTGAAAGAACAAGAACAGAACAGAATGCATAACAAAATCTTGTGACTGCTCACAGCCTCGGCACACGTGGTGTGATTTGTTATCAGTTGAAAACAATCCACATGGAGCAACGGAAGATGAACCTGCTGCATTCTACAGCAGCAGATTGTTATTGTTTACATTCCCTTCCTGAGGCTTCCAGCTCCGCAGGAGGGAAAAATCTTAACAAAGGATTTTTCATAAAATATCATAACTACACACACCCACACCCAGCTCAGGACTGACCTCATGGCCACGTGCAAAAAGAGCTCTGGTGGCCCCACTGGTGCTTCCTGAGGTTGTTTCAAGTTCCCCTTTCCCTGAAGGAGCCCTCAGGATCCCCTTTCCAGGGAGTTCTGTTAAAAGCTCTGCTGAGAGAGCGGAAAAATCTGTCTGGTTCTGTGGAAGGGAAGCTGTGCCCCAGGACAGCCCCGGGCTGGGCACCCAGGGGGGCTCTGGGGGCTCCTGGACCCCTCTGGAGCAGCCCTGGTGGCTTTGGTGTCCCTGGCACCTGGGCAGGTGACACCTGCATGTGGGTCATGTCCAACCTGCCCATGGGGTTGTGTCCCTGGGACCACATCCGACCTTCCCATGGGATTTGTGTCCAACCTGCCCATGGGATTTAGGTCCAACCTTCCCGCATGTCCAACCTTCCCATGGGATTTGTGTCCAACCTGCCCATGGGATTTAGGTCCAACGTTCCCACATGTCCAACCTTCCCATGGGATTTGTGCCCAGCCTTCCCATGGGATTTGTGTCCAACCTGCCCATGGGATTTGTGTCCAGCCTGCCCATGGGATTTGTGTCCAGCCTTCCCATGGGATTTAGGTCCCACCTGCCCTTGGGATTTCTGTCCAACCTTCCCGCATGTTCAACCTTCCCATGGGATTTGTGTCCAACCTGCCCATGGGATTTGTGTCCCACCTGCCCATGGGATTTGTGTCCAACATTCCCATGGGATTTGTGTCCAACCTGCCCATGGGATTTAGGTCCAACCTTCCCGCATGTCCAACCTTCCCATGGGATTTGTGTCCCACCTGCCCTTGGGATTTGTATCCAACCTTCCCACATGTCCAACCTTCCCATGGGATTTAGGTCCCACCTGCCCATGGGGCCGTGTCCCTGCACCCCATTCCTCGGTTTCACAGCAGGAACTGAAGGATTTTTTCCACCAGACCCAAACATTCCCCCCTGTCCTGGAGGCAGCTCCGGCCACACCAAATCCCCTGGCCAGACACCACCCCCAGCCTGTTCCCTTTGTGACACCCCTGTGGAGGTGTCCCAGCCGCCCCTGGGGTGACTCAGCCCGTGACTGCTCCTTCCCAGGGCACAGGGGGCAGCTCCCACCCCCCACCAGAGCCGGAGACGATTCCAGGAGGAGAAGGAGCCAAAGCAAACATGGCCTCGGATCCCGCCGGCGCTCCCGGCCCCGCCAGCCGCCCACTGCAGCCCTTCCATGGCTTAATTAGAGGCTCCTCCAACCTTCTCCCCGGGCCTGGTAGCTTCAAAGCCGAGCGTTCCCGGCGGGATCGGGGTGGGAGCGCCCGTCCCAGCCCAAATCCTCGCTGTCTCGCCTATGTTTAGACATTTTGGGAGTTTATTCCAGACCACAAGGGCACTCTCAGGGATTATTTTGCTTGGCAGCCGCGTGCCGGCGTGTTCTCAGCTCCTCAATCCCCGAGCAGCACTCGGGAACCGGCGCTGCAGCCCCGCGTTCCCGGCTTCCCGCGGGAGGATTCCCTGAATTAGCGGGGCTGGTTGGAAATCTCCGCCTCTCCCGTCCTGGAAGTTAAGTCAAGCCAGCACGGGGAAGCTGCCAGGGTGAAATCAGGTCTGGTTCTGTGGAAAACGGGAGCAGGAAGGAGGCTGTTCCCTGGGGAAGGAGCTCCTGCTCCGGTTTGAGGCGCTCCAAAACAGCGCAGCTGCAGCTCCCCAGCTGCATCCCAGTGAATCCCAGTTTCCTTCTTCCCAGCAGGGCCTTTTTTCCCTCCCCAGAGCAGAGAGAAGCAGCAGTCGGTGTTGTTGCACAGGGGGATCTGAATCCCTCCCAGTCCCAGGTTCTGCAATGGGATTAGGAGCAGGGAAAAGCTCCGTGTCAAAGTCCAGCTCCTCCTAAAGCCCTGCCATGACCCTGAGAGCCCTTCCTGCTGCAGACACTGCCAGAACAGCTCACCTGGACAAGAGTTAGCAGGCAGCTGGGGGAAAAAAATGCAAGGAATTTGTGTTTCCAAGTGTTTGCAGCAGCACAGGATCACCTGCCTGTACTTTCTCAGCTTCCTGTTTACGGAGCTGATGAATCAGCCCAGGGAGAGTTCAGAGAACTTCTGGGAGCTGTTCCCACCCCCATCCCTGTCCCTGCAGCATCCTGAGGATCCACAGCCAGGGCAGTGCTGGATCCACAGCGAGGGATCCACAGCCAGGGCAGTGCTGGATCCACAGCAATGGATCCAAACCAGGGCAGTGCTGGATCCAAACCAGGGCAGTGCTGTGGATCCATTGCTGTGGATCCAAACCAGGGCAGTGCTGTGGATCCATTGCTGTGGATCCAAACCAGGGCAGTGCTGTGGATCCATTGCTGTGGATCCAGCAGTGCTCTGGTTTGGATCCAGCACTGCCCTGGCTGTGGATCCATTGCTGTTCATCCAGCAATGCCCTGGTTTGGATCCAGCAGTGCCCTGGTTTGGATCCAGCACTGCCCTGGTTTGGATCCAGCACTGCTCCGGTTTGGATCCAGCTCCATGGTCCCTGTGCCCATTTTTTAAGGAAATCAGTGCTTGGGAAAAGACTGGGACGTGACGTCTGCAGCCAGGCCTGGGCAGGAAGCACAGGACAGTGGGGACACCCAGGTCTGCTGTACATCCTCCACAAGTGAAGAAACGACCCCCACAGAGCCAGAATTCCTTCTGCCAGGGGGGCAAACCTCTGGAGCTTGGCCTGGTCCCACCTCCTGCTGCTGCTGGAGCCGGGCCAGCGCTGACTCTTCCCTTCGCTGGCTCTGCTCCGTGACTCAGCACCAGGCCCGGCTCTGCTCCCGCTGAGTCACCCCCAGCCCTGCTCAGCACAAACAAATCTTCCTCAATTCTGCAGCAGCGCTTCCCGGCTGATCCCGGCAGCAGCGTTTGGGACAAAGAGATTTTCGGGAATGGCTCTGGTGGCGCTGCTCCTCACAAAGAGCCGGGAGCTTTTCCAGCAGGGATGGAGCCACCGCAGCTCCCCGGGCTGCTCTCCCTGCTCCTCCCAGCCCAGGGAACACTGACAGAAAGGTTTCCCAGCAGCACTAAAACCACGGGAAATCGATACAAATTCAGGCAACACGGGCAGGGAGGGATCAACGGCCCGAGGGCAAGGACACAGCCGGGAGGGAGGTTGGGAAGTCCGGGATCCCGGAGTGCAGGTGAGAGGGTTGGGAATGATGCAAACACATCTCAGGAGAGTCTGGCTGGGACACAAACCCCCCCTACAACAGGCATTTACCCTGCCTGTTTTAGGGAAAGCACTGAGGTCAGGGTAAACCCAGGAATGATCAGGATTTGGTATTTTAAACCTGCTTGGATATTCTGGACTAAAAGCAGAATGCTCAGAGCCACGTCCTCAGCAGCACGGTCTGACTCAGGAGCAGCCCCAAATCTCTCCTGGGTTCCATCCCTAAATTTCCAGGCTCACACCGTCACAAACCCCGTGTTTTGTGCTCACACTCCCCCAAACGCTGCGGGTGCCACCCTCCCGGTGTCCTGCACAGCCCCGACGTCACGGCAGCACCGAGTGACGGCCGGAGCGGCCCCTCCGCGTCCCACGGCGCCGCTTTGTTCCCGAGCGCTGCCCGTGCGCCCGCCAGGCTGCCAAAGTCCCGATTTGGGCTGTTTTCCCGGGGAAAAGCAGCGCAAACCCGCGCAGCTCCTGAGTCAGCCGCGCGCAGCAGCGGCGGGTGACAGAGCGGTGACAGAGCGGTGACAGAGCGGTGACAGCAGCGCTGGCTCTGCCGAGCCGTGACTCAGCAGCGGCTCCGTGCTGGAGGAGACGCCTCCTCCTCTCCCATCACGGCTCTGGGCTGGCTCCGAGCAGCCTCTGCCCTTTCATCCATTTATTTCTCGATTTATCCCTCGATTTATTCCCGGCGGGATGGAGGAGGCGCGCATCCCCCAGCCCCATCCCTGCCTTTTCCCCGGGCTCAGCCAAACCTTTCCCTGCCTTTCCCAACCGAAACGCGGCCTCGGGATCGCGGTCACGAGGGTGAAACCGGTCGGGAAGCCGGGCCTGTCCCGGCCTGACGGCCACGCCGGGAACCGGCCCTGGCACGGCTCCCGGGCGGCTCCGGCCCGCGGTGCCACCTGCCCGCCGCGGCACGGCTGACGGCAGCGCGGAAACACGCGCTGATCCCGGGAATTCCTCCCATTCCTCGCATAGCTGCGAGCTGCCACTCCTCCAACACCCAGCGGCTGAGTGCCATTTACCCTTCCAGGACCCCATTTACCGCTCAGGACCCTCTCTACCCTTCCAGGACCCCATTTACCCCTCGGGACTCTATTTACCTCTCAGGACCCCATTTATCTTTCAGGACCCTCTCATTTAGGGATGGAGCAGCCCGAGGGTTTTGGGATTCGGGGATGGAGCAGCCCGAGGGTCTCCAAACCCTCTGTGTTTTGGGATTCAGGGATGCAGCCGCTCCCCCCGGCTGGAGCGGGGCCAGGAGCCACCGACACCTCGGCGGAGCGAGCCCGGAGC